CAATTTCTTCAATATGCTAAAAAATTAATAGGACTTAGCTTCTTAGAATATATTAAATAAAGCACAGCTTTAATAATTAGAAATGATTATCTAGGGTTTGAGCACACACACACACTATATATATATATATATATATATATATATATATATATATATATATATATATATATATATATATATATATATATATATATATAATATATATATATATATATATTTATATATATATATATATAATGAAACAACTAGGAGTTATTTATCATGATGTATTGTGTTAAATATATAACGTTATGTTTGGTATGGAGCAATATCCTATTACACTCAATTTGATTTCTTAATACTACGTTTTAGCCAAATTTCTTAGATTTATTTATATCTTCTCTGTTTCTTTCTCAGCAGCGCTTTCTCTCTCTTGTAGCGCTTTGTAATTGTTTATAATGGGAAACGCGGCTTCAGTTTTAGGCAGAAATGGTAAGATATTTTGGTTTTCATAAGCTTTTATTTAACTTGGTTTTTTCTGTTTTGTTTTATCCCGGTGTTTTCTAAACGAACAACCTCTATGAAATTTTGCATGAGGATCAATACCCGATGACAATGCAATACTCGATTCAGTCGAGCCTCTGCGGTAGTGTTACCGATGATTCATAAAAGCGTTCTACCACAACCTTGCGGCGGAGGGTTATTGACGTACATGCAAGGTTTTCGTGCCCTTTGGCCTCTGGGCGGTAATTATGACAAACTTGGCCTCATAACTGACATAACAAAAAAGATGTCGCCGTCATAATTTACATTTATATAACTCAGCTTTTGATAACAAAGTAACGATCATGAAAAAGCACTGTTGTTAAGGTATTGATTACATTCTGTTCAAATATTGCAAAGCACAAAGGGAAAGCTTGTATTACATAGAAAACACGTACCGAAACAACTTTGTGTTTGACTCCGGCTATAGCTGTTGGTTTAAAATCAGTTTAGATATATAACATAGCTTTGTAGGGAAGATGTATAAAATTATATGAAGTTTTCATTTCACATAATATTTGATTTATAATGGTATTATTTATTTAAAATAGTATGATAATAAAGACATTAATATTTTAATTACTTAATTGTATTCAATACATTGAAATGTATTTTAAAAGCTTGGATTCATTTGTTGTTTCAGAAAATAATGAGCATAATGTTATGCTGGCGTTCCCCACACATTCCTTGTCTGAGGCTGACCACTCGACAGTCAATGCAAGTGAAAGACAAACTGATCACATAGTAACTTTAGATAACCTTGCTGATCAACCTGAAAACCCTGTTACTTATCGTCAAACACATCAGCAGGATGCCCAAAACAACGCTGGAAATCTAGCAGATATAATTCTACCTCTGACAGCACGCGATAACGCAAGCGCCCTACCCCAATGGTCGACAGAGACCACAACAATAAAAAAACTGATCGCCATGGTTCTGAAACTGCATCTCAAAAAGAAAAATTTAACCAAAGTTCTTAAACACTTAAGTCAGAGTAACGTTAACTTAAATTATATCAAAATCGCATCAGAAGCGACTTTAGCGTGCAAGTATCTAAATGGGGAAGAACTGTTTAACAAATTGAAAACCTTATGGGAAATCAGAACCGAATTAACAGTCGGAAATTTGTTAGCTCACTTAGAATTCTGCAAATTTAGTTTGAAAGCTTACCAAGACAGTATGGCCAGGAATCAAAGCATTGTAATTGTAAACACCGAGGAAGATTTTATTAGAGATATTTGGTGTGACTGCAGCTGTAGCAGTAAGATGTTTTCTCAAGAATTTGTAAGAAGTGAGGCATGCCGGGAACTGATAAGGGAGCTTCAGTTTCGACACTCTATTGAGGAAAATTTGGTAAATAATGTAACTGTGCTAATTAGATGAATTGATATCACGGTGGAGAGAGGAAATTATGATGTGAAAACAAATTTTGTCCAATCGATGAGTTTATTCTTTATACACTTCTTTAATTCTTTGCTGGTAATGGTTTCGGGCTCAAATCCTGCTTTTTCCTTTAGTATGCAGTCGTGGTTGTCAAGGATCCTGTCCCTTACCGCAATGCAGTTCTATTCAGACGCTTATTTTAATCTTCACTCGCAGAAAGACATATTTTTTTTGTAGGGTTGATCTTGCTTTAGCTATATTTGTTTTTGTAACTACATCTGTCACTTATTTCATGTACACTTCTACCAGATATCTAAATTTATCCACTTCACCTTTATTTACCATAATCTAAGGAATCAGATTTTCAAGCAGTTTTCACATGTTTTCTATGTCTAAGTTATTCAACGGATTTTCGTAGTTTTTAAAAAGGACAGGCGACTGCTTAAAACTAACTTACAATGATGCTATACGATCTATGCAGGTTCTGAAACATCTAATTTCATTTCTAAAAAGGTGGTCCATTGCTTCTATTGAGTAAAATTATGTTTAAGAAAAAACTAAATATTTAATGTAGAGAAATACTGAGCTAAACGTAATTTTTTTTCCAAGTAGAACTGGAAATCATTTAACAGTACCATCTTCACAATCATCAATTTAGCACAAAATACTGCGAACTTCAAGAGATTAAAAGAAATGAAAGTGATTGACGTTTTACAGAAATTTCTGACGTTTCAGAAACATCCTGGTGAGTTTCATATTTCAGACTCAAATCTATATCTAAATCTATAAAAGCAATATATGTTTGTATGCCTGCCCTTTATGTATTACTACACCTTTTATCCAATCGCCATAAAACTTTGGGAAGTTGTTGAGAATAACCTGCGAAAAAAACAAAGTCAAATTCGCATGGATGGCGCCCCGGCAGGGCGCAATTAAATTCTTCTCAATATAGGCCTACTGGATTTAAAATAAAAGTCGGTTGCTCTTTGACACCGTTCATCTGATTTCTTTGAAAGTTTTTGGGAGATGATTAAAACACTCCAGGGTAGATTTCTGAACAATTTTTTTTTATTTCGCGAAGGCAGCGCCCCGGGAGAGTGAGATTTAAAAAAAAAAAAAGTCGGATGCGGTTCTACACCTTTTATCCAAGTGCCATGAAAATTTGGGGAGTTGATTAGAATACTCACGAGTAGGTTTCTGCGAAAAAAAAGTACTTGTTATAAGCGGCGCCATGGGAGGGTGCGATTTTTTTGTCAATAACCGGTTAGATGCCCTGAGTTCCAGAGCGGCTACCGGATACGTTAACCATAGCGGGAAAAGGACATTAGTATATTAATCGGTAAAATTACAACAGAATGATTGCTCAACTCTCTCATTTTTATAAATAAACACACCCATCATAGAGTTAGCGGTAGACTGAAAATGTATCAATAGCTAATGTCTTACTCTAGAAGTCAGAAACTCTTGGTGGCTTTTTTTGGCACAAGTTGGCTATATCCTGCCTTTTCTGTCAATATACTGGAGACAGCGATAGATATGTGTACTTTGAAAAAGTATTAAGAGAGCGAAGGTCATACATATTTTGTCATCTATGTCAGTATAAGTAAATAGGTAAATGGGTTAGACGATGAACAATAGATGTATAGAAATAAATGAACGAGTTGTTTTTTTTTACACCTTTTATTACATGTTTCAGTATCCAGCGTCATTATTTGGACACATGTGCGGGTAATTAGTACCGTTTTGGAATAATTTGTAATTACTGTGGAAATTTTAAAATGTTTGCACATTAGGACCAAAATTATTTGGTCTAGTTTACATTAAAGATTGGGTCGACGTAAAAATTAACTGTTTCAAATTCGATATTAAAGGGTTCGATTAACCAATTTTCTACCAATATGTATAAACGTATATTATATTCATATACACACACACATATATATATATATATGTAGATATATATATATATGTAGATATATATAAATATATATGTATATATATATATGTATATATATATATATATATATATATATATATATATATATATATATATATATATCATTTATTTGTTAATTCAATTATATATTTATTATTCATTTACAACAGATGTGAGGAAGGTAGTTTTACTAGCTCTACCATTATTGATTGATAAAACCGATGCGGATATATTAACTGCTAACGACTCCAAAGATATAATAAACATTTTAAAGATGGCGCATGAAACATGGGAATGCAAAAATCACACACATGAAGGCTTCAGGTTTCTTGTTTGACTGTTTATGTTTAGCGGAGGTTGTAGTTATGGTTGTTAATACGACAGTGTTATGGTTTTCGTTGTCGTAGTGGTTGTAATTGTAATTGTAATTGTAATTGTAATTGTTATTGTTATTGTAATTGTAATTGTAATTGTAATTGTAATTGTAATTGTAATTGTAATTGTAATTGTAATTGTAATTGTAATTGTAATTGTAATTGTAATTGTAATTGTAATTGTAATTGTAATTGTAATTGTAATTGTAATTGTAATTGTAATTGTAATTGTAATTGTAATTGTAATTGTAATTGTAATTGTAATTGTAATTGTAATTGTAATTGTAATTGTAATTGTAATTGTAATTGTAATTGTAATTGTAATTGTAATTGTAATTGTAATTGTAATTGTAATTGTAATTGTAATTGTAATTGTAATTGTAATTGTAATTGTAATTGTAATTGTAATTGTAATTGTAATTGTAATTGTAATTGTAATTGTAATTGTAATTGTAATTGTAATTGTAATTGTAATTGTAATTGTAATTGTAATTGTAATTGTAATTGTAATTGTAATTGTAATTGTAATTGTAATTGTAATTGTAATTGTAATTGTAATTGTAATTGTAATTGTAATTGTAATTGTAATTGTAATTGTAATTGTAATTGTAATTGTAATTGTAATTGTAATTGTAATTGTAATTGTAATTGTAATTGTAATTGTAATTGTAATTGTAATTGTAATTGTAATTGTAATTGTAATTGTAATTGTAATTGTAATTGTAATTGTAATTGTAATTGTAATTGTAATTGTAATTGTAATTGTAATTGTAATTGTAATTGTAATTGTAATTGTAATTGTAATTGTAATTGTAATTGTAATTGTAATTGTAATTGTAATTGTAATTGTAATTGTAATTGTAATTGTAATTGTAATTGTAATTGTAATTGTAATTGTAATTGTAATTGTAATTGTAATTGTAATTGTAATTGTAATTGTAATTGTAATTGTAATTGTAATTGTAATTGTAATTGTAATTGTAATTGTAATTGTAATTGTAATTGTAATTGTAATTGTAATTGTAATTGTAATTGTAATTGTAATTGTAATTGTAATTGTAATTGTAATTGTAATTGTAATTGTAATTGTAATTGTAATTGTAATTGTAATTGTAATTGTAATTGTAATTGTAATTGTAATTGTAATTGTAATTGTAATTGTAATTGTAATTGTAATTGTAATTGTAATTGTAATTGTAATTGTAATTGTAATTGCAATTGCAATTGCAATTGTAATTGTAATTGTAATTGTAATTGTAATTGTAATTGTAATTGTAATTGTAATTGTAATTGTAATTGTAATTGTAATTGTAATTGTACTTGTACTTGTACTTGTACTTGTACTTGTACTTGTAATTGTAATTGTAATTGTAATTGTAATTGTAATTGTAATTGTAATTGTAATTGTAATTGTAATTGTAATTGTAATTGTAATTGTAATTGTAATTGTAATTGTAATTGTAATTGTAATTGTAATTGTAATTGTAATTGTAATTGTAATTGTAATTGTAATTGTAATTGTAATTGTAATTGTAATTGTAATTGTAATTGTAATTGTAATTGTAATTGTAATTGTAATTGTAATTGTAATTGTAATTGTAATTGTAATTGTAATTGTAATTGTAATTGTAATTGTAATTGTCGTTTTCGTTGTAGTAGTAGTAATTGTTGTAGTTGTAGTTATAGTTGTAGTTGTAGTTGTCTTTGTCTTTGTCGTTGTCGTTGTGGATGTCGTTGTCGTTGTGGTTGTGGTTGTGGTTGTGGTTGTGATTGTGATTGTGATTGTGGTTGTAGTTGTAGTTGTAGTTGTAGTTGTAGTTGTAGCTGTAGTTGTAGTTGTAGTTGTAGTTGTAGTTGTAGTTGTAGTTGTAGTTGTAGTTGTAGTTGTAGTTGTAGTTGTAATTGTAGATGTAGATGTAGATGTAGTTGTTGCTGTTGCTGTTGCTGTTGCTGTTGCTGTTGCTGCTACTGTTACTGTTACTGTTACTGTTACTGTTACTGTTACTGTTACTGTTACTGTTACTGGTACTGGTACTGGTACTGGTACTGGTACTGGTACTGGTACTGGTACTGGCACTCGTTATAGTTATTGTTATTGTTATTGTTATTGTTATTGTTATTGTTATTGTTATTGTTATTGTTATTGTTATTGTTATTGTTATTGTTATTGTTATTGTTATTGTTATTGTTATTGTTATTGTTATTGTTATTGTTATTGTTATTGTTATTGTTATTGTTATTGTTATTGTTATTGTTATTGTTATTGTTATTGTTATTGTTATTGTTATTGTTATTGTTATTGTTATTGTTATTGTTATTGTTATTGTTATTGTTATTGTTATTGTTATTGTTATTGTTATTGTTATTGTTATTGTTATTGTTATTGTTATTGTTATTGTTATTGTTATTGTTATTGTTATTGTTATTGTTATTGTTATTGTTATTGTTATTGTTATTGTTATTGTTATTGTTATTGTTATTGTTATTGTTATTGTTATTGTTATTGTTATTGTTATTGTTATTGTTATTGTTATTGTTATTGTTATTGTTATTGTTATTGTTATTGTTATTGTTATTGTTATTGTTATTGTTATTGTTATTGTTATTGTTATTGTTATTGTTATTGTTATTGTTATTGTTATTGTTATTGTTATTGTTATTGTTATTGTTATTGTTATTGTTATTGTTATTGTTATTGTTATTGTTATTGTTATTGTTATTGTTATTGTTATTGTTATTGTTATTGTTATTGTTATTGTTATTGTTATTGTTATTGTTATTGTTATTGTTATTGTTATTGTTATTGTTATTGTTATTGTTATTGTTATTGTTATTGTTATTGTTATTGTTATTGTTATTGTTATTGTTATTGTTATTGTTATTGTTATTGTTATTGTTATTGTTATTGTTATTGTTATTGTTATTGTTATTGTTATTGTTATTGTTATTGTTATTGTTATTGTTATTGTTATTGTTATTGTTATTGTTATTGTTATTGTTATTGTTATTGTTATTGTTATTGTTATTGTTATTGTTATTGTTATTGCTATTGCTATTGCTATTGCTATTGCTATTGCTATTGCTATTGCTATTGCTATTGCTATTGCTATTGCTATTGCTATTGCTATTGCTATTGCTATTGCTATTGCTATTGCTATTGCTATTGCTATTGCTATTGCTATTGCTATTGCTATTGCTATTGCTATTGCTATTGCTATTGCTATTGCTATTGCTATTGCTATTGCTATTGCTATTGCTATTGCTATTGCTATTGCTATTGCTATTGCTATTGCTATTGCTATTGCTATTGCTATTGCTATTGCTATTGCTATTGCTATTGCTATTGCTATTGCTATTGCTATTGCTATTGCTATTGCTATTGCTATTGCTATTGCTATTGCTATTGCTATTGCTATTGCTATTGCTATTGCTATTGCTATTGCTATTGCTATTGCTATTGCTATTGCTATTGCTATTGCTATTGCTATTGCTATTGCTATTGCTATTGCTATTGCTATTGCTATTGCTATTGCTATTGCTATTGCTATTGCTATTGCTATTGCTATTGTTATTGTTATTGTTATTGTTATTGTTATTGTTATTGTTATTGTTATTGTTATTGTTATTGTTATTGTTATTGTTATTGTTATTGTTATTGTTATTGTTATTGTTATTGTTATTGTTATTGTTATTGTTACTGTTACTGTTACTGTTATTGTTATTGTTATTGTTATTGTTACTGTTACTGTTATTGTTATTGTTATTGTTATTGTTATTGTTATTGTTATTGTTATTGTTATTGTTATTGTTATTGTTATTGTTATTGTTATTGATATTGATATTGATATTGTTATTGTTATTGTTATTGTTATTGTTATTGTTATTGTTATTGTTATTGTTATTGTTATTGTTATTGTTATTGTTATTGTTATTGTTATTGTTATTGTTATTGTCATTGTCATTGTCATTGTCATTGTCATTGTCAATGTCAATGTCAATGTCAATGTCAATGTCATTGTCAGTGTCAGTGTCTGTGTCTGTGTCTGTGTCTGTGTCTGTGTCAGTGTCAGTGTCAGTGTGTTATTTCTGTAGATATTGTTGTTTGTGGTAATTTAATTTAGTTCTCTTTTCAGCATCATCGAAATTCTGAAAGTACTCCATAACCTTTGTAAGAATGAAAAGATCAGGGTCATTTTCCTAAATAATAACATTCTTGATTTTATTATTGACATTCTTCAAAACGGTGTCTCTGAGCAGAAAGCAATTGCAGCATTAATATTATTGGAGCTTGCATTCAACCCCGAAAGTATAGTTAAAATTAAGGTGATTTAAATAAACAATATTAGAGTGTAGATTTTACAATTTTTTTTTAAACTTGCTTCCTCTGTCTGTATGTCGTGCTCTTCTATGCCGTGTTTTGTCATAGATTGAATCTGCCGAACTAAATTTCCAGCATTTCTAACTGACCGATTGGTTTCAAACTCGTCACGTGGGCAAAGACTCGTTTACAACGCAATCTGACATCAAATGAATTAATTCGCTGACTTATTAATTGTGTATTAATTGAGGTTGATTAATATTATTTAAATAAAGTAGGGACCTACGATTATTCCGCTCATTTTCATGTTCATTTGATGTCCAATAGTTTTTAGTTATAAAACTCTACTGTATTCTTAAAATAAAAAAAAGCAATTTTCAAGTAAATAAAACAATGCATATAATAACGATTTAATAACAGGCTTTTATGTTATAATGCACTAAAAAGGAGAAAAAAATACTATTTTCTTTAATTACACAGTAATAAAATAGTATTTAAATAACTACAAATAACTATAAAGAAAAGCGTTGGTTTCTTCCTAAATATTAGTAAAAGTATCCAATAAATAATAAAGTTATCAACGCTTTTCTTTATAATTATTTGAATAGAAGTGTATTATGATTTAATTTAAGAAAATCGTTTATTTTTTCATTTTCAGTGCATATACAAGCGTGTTATTAAAACGTGTTTTTTGTATTGTTAATATATTATGTCTCTTCATTAATTTTTTCATTTATTTCCAAAGCTAGATCTTACTTATTTTATTGATTGTTTAAACTTAACATAAAGTTTATTATTTTATTCTAAATTTTAAAAAGTAATTTTTCGTTTCTTAAATAATTGACGAAATTGTTGAAATTCATTTTTGTACTACGTCATTGGAGCATAAAAGATGTAAAAAATATTAATAAGAGATTTTTTTATGAATCGATGTTAATTACTAATAGGAGAACAAAAAGCTGGTTGAAGTTTTGAGGAAAATAACAACCAAAAAGGAATACGAAGACAACAGTTTAATGAGTGTTTCGATTCAAGTATTATATTTAATTGGAGCTTCTGAAAATCCAGGTATGCATATAAACGCTTATATATATATATATATATATATATATATATATATATATATATATATATATATATATATATATATATATATATATATATATATATATATATATAATGATTTGCACATTATTTTGGCCATCTAGTCGTAATGTTTTTTTACAATAGTTATTATTTATATATTTTTACTCGAGATTCTACGACGTATATTTTTTTTCTTTTAGAGGATTCTCCAATAAAAGGCCATATCATGATTAGCTACTGCCATGCAGATAAAGATACTGTTGAAAAGGTCTGGTTTAGTTCGTGGTTTTTCGTTTGTGTGAAAATTATTTTCTGTTTAGTTCAATCAATAATCCATATGTTATCCAATAACGAATTTCATTTAAAATGCATTAAATAACCGTCTTTTAAAGATCGCAAACTATTGGTCGGTGTTCGTAGCAAATATTTCTGCTGTTGTTTATGTTGTGCCAACTTCATATAGAACGAACTTGAAATTGGAAATTTTTAAAAATCTGTTATAATAATACATTTGTAAATGCTTTGAAATTCAGAAAATATGTAAGACAAATCATATTTGTTTTATTTATCTCTAATGTTCATTACAATTATTTTTAATTGTTAGCTTTTCTTTAGTGCTATCTGTTGTTGTTTTTTTTGTTGTTAAAGTGTTTTTGCAAATTTTGCTTCTTAATTTTTACCCATTTCTTATGCAGCGATATCATTCAAACTGTCATATCAATGTGCCGTACCGTAATGTTGTCTTCCCATTTTACTACCTGCTTCTTCTTCGTCTTCCTGGCACTATTCCTTGTCAATGGGTCTATATTTTGTTAGTTAAATATGTCAGGTCGTGAAAACATTACAAGAAAAAAAACTGACGGTTTGGGTTGACACTCAGGACATGGCTAAGGGAAACGGCGATATATACGACACGATGGCTAAAGCAGTTCAAAATGCTCAAGTTGTTGTGGTATTCATGTCTGAGGCCTATACCAACAGTGAAAACTGCAAATTTGGTGAGATCTTGGGATTAATCAACACCATCACCATATCAACAACTAGACCTACACCTACACCTGCACCTACACCTGTACCTGCGTCTGCATCTGCACCTGCACCTGCACCTGCACCTGCACCTAAACCTAAACCTAAACCTAAACCTAAACCTAAACCTAAACCTAAACCTACACCTACACCTACACCTACACCTACACCTACACCTACACCTACACCTACACCTACACCTACACCTACACCTACACCTACACCTACACCTACACCTACACCTACACCTACACCTACACCTACACCTACACCTACACCTACACCTACACCTACACCTACACCTACACCTACACCTACACCTACACCTACACCTACACCTACACCTACACCTACACCTACACCTACACCTACACCTCTACCTACACCTACACCTACACTTACACCTACACCTACACCTCTACCTACACCTACACCTACACCTACACCTACACCCACACCTACACCTACACCTACACCTACACCTACACCTACACCTACACCTACACCTACACCTACACCTACACCTACACCTACACCTACACCTACACCTACACCTACACCTACACCTACACCTACACCTACACCTACACCTACACCTACACCTACACCTACACCTACACCTACACCTACACCTACACCTACACCTACACCTACACCTACACCTACACCTACACCTACACCTACACCTACACCTACACCTACACCTACACCTACACCTACACCTATACCTACACTTACACCTACACCTACACCTAAATTTATGCCCAAATCCTGCTAACAAATACTTTGGCTTGATTAAATAGCCATAATATTTTAATAAAATAGTTTATTTATCTCCAGAAGCCGAATATGCTACACGACTTAAAAAGAAAAAGATTTTTGTCAAGGTTCAAGAAAAATTTGTGCCTACGGATTGGTTAGGTCTTTTGGCAGGAAATAACCTCTACCACGATTTTGCAGGTATATAATGTCGCATAACATTATCATTTATGTTAATTCACTAAAAAAATTTATTTTAGGATATCTTAACAAAAGGAAAAAAAGCTAATTTATTTATGAAGTATATTCAAACACATTTTTATACTAATCTTGTTTCAGGCAAGGTACCTCATGACCAAGTTATGAACAATTTGATTGCTGCGATTTTATATGAATATAATCAAGTAATATAACTAATTAAACAGACAATGTTTTCACTTTATGATTGTAGACAACTAAATTAAATTGTCTAGGTCTAAAGTCTTGAATGTGTGCATTAATAGTGTTGAAGGTCGGTTTGAATCCACACTATTTGTGTGTATATTCCTTGTAGTGACTATATTGAACATCCGTTATTTTAAAAACCAATACAGTTTATTAATAAAACTGAACTATTGTATACCAAATATAGTTTACCTCACATACATTGGTATTTATGTTTTTCAGTGACGTTTTTTTAACTATGTTCTATTTACTCTTTTTGTTTACGCTAGTTATTTTCTTTATTTAACTAAACGCTAAAGTATACTAACTCTAAATAAAACATCAAAATTATTTGAATAAAATGTAAAACATTTTAATAGATTATTTTAAAAAGGAGAGCGAAATGAGGACATTGTTTTTAAGCAAACAAGGTATTTAAATGATATACGTTACATAAAATTTAATAATTATTAGAAATGCTAGGCTAAATTTAAAAAAGTAATATTTATGTACAATTGGATTTTAACACAAAATAAATCAAGTATTCTATTCAATAGCATTAACCTTTCACTGTTGCTGTCAAAAATAATTCCGCGTTCACAAACTTTTTTAAAAAGAGATTATGTGTTTCTTATCACTTTAATATAATGCAGATGCATTGTACTTTAACTATTCTGATATATATATATATATATATATATATAATATATATATATATATATATATATATATATATATATATATATATATATGTGTATATATACGTGTTGAACTTGAATCAACATGTAGTAGGAAACTGGGATTGCATATAGTTTCAATTTTAATTGTAGGTGTATCTATATTTTCATTATTGGATATGTTATAGTAGCTGTAATACGAATGGCCCTAGGGTGTTTGATTAATATTGACTATATTGTATAGTTAAAAATTAGTATTCAAGTTAGGTTTTAATGTAAACGTAGGTTATTCACCCCGTTCTTCATGGCATTGGAGGGGTTACACTTTTGGGTGAGGCTTTTTGGGGAGAGGTTTTATTTAGTAAGTTGAAAGCTAGATTTTTGATAGTGTGGAAGTGTGTTTCTTTGTGTACCGTAGTACTTTGTTTTTCTTTATATAAATGTAGTATATTAAAGTTTCAAAATAAAACAAGTGTTGTGTTATTTTAATTATTATTGAAGTCATTAAAGTCATCAGTCATGATGACTTTATAACACTAAGAAGTGTTATAATTTGAGTAAATCATTTTAAAATATAGAGTTAATTCATAAATGGAAGTACCTATGCATTCGAACGTGTCCCAACATGTTTCTAATAACAAGTATCGAACAATGTTTGGGACGTAAAAAAGCACTATCATAAATGTAAGCATCTAGAATTAGCCAAAATAAAATGGCGTCCTAACACTTGACAAATCTTCTAATTCGAGAATAAAATGATTTTATTTTGGATAAATTAGAATCCATATCTAAGTTACGTTAGAAAACTGAAGATCAAATCAAAATTAGTAAGCTAAAATAAAAAACAGGTTCAAAAGAACAATGAATAATTGAATGATCAATATTGAGTTGTTTTTCTTAAATTTTATAATTTTAGATTTTAGTTCAATAAAATACACATTAAGAATATTACACAATATTACTCAATGGCGATCACGTCGAAGTGTTTTACTATATGCATGTTATCTACAATTCCGTACGTCTGCACGACACAAAGGCCATTTGATATATATATACATGTATATATATATATATATATATATATATATATATATATATATATATATATATATATATAATGTTTATATCGGTGACCGGAAATTTTCGCAAAGAAAAGAAGCTGTGCACAAAAAGTGCGTATGGACATATTTAATTTCTTAAATACAGCATTGATAGACATTAACAAATAATGTCCTCATGTAGGCTACCTTGTAGCACAATAAAACATCTTTCCACGAAATATGACAACATTAAGGTGTAATAATCTATAATATAAGCGGCCAAGTAGTGTGTCAGTCCTTCTTTCCTTCCGTCATCGCTATAGATTTTGGAACCATAAAAGTAAACATCGCACCATGTAGTGCTTTGCAGTGCATCGCATTGTCTTGTTGTAAGTATTAGAGTAAGGTTTGTTTATTACAAGTATTAGAGTAGGGTTTGTTTATATAACGTTATAGAGCTATTTTATAATTTCCACTGTTTGTACAATTTTGCATTCCGTAAAGAGAATATTAAATACACGCACATTGCTAAAACATATTAAAAGGATCAATGTCAAATATCGTTTTCGTTAATATTCCTAGAAAAAGTGGATACATTTTAATAACATAATAACTGTAGGTTAGAAAAATCTAATTAAACTGTTTAGTAATTTTGCCAATGGAGGTATTTTAAAAATAAATTGAACTCACGCTAAAAATGTGAATGCTAAATCTGCAAGACGGAATAATTGTAGGAATAATATAATTAGCAAAATGTGAATGCATATTATGCAGACGTGTAAGAGTACATTATTGTTGGAATATTATAATTAGCATTGATTGATAAAACGCTGTCTTTTATTTATTTTATTCACTGAATGTACTGTTTACTAATTATAATTTTTAATCAGCTATTCTCCATTATTATATTAAATCATCACGTTCATTAGGTGCGCAATGGTTTTAATCATGAAACTTTATTGTAAATTTTTAAAAGTACTGAAAAAAATGCATGAATTTATAAAGTGCAATATGGTCGGTAAAACACGGATATTCTAAATACTGCCTTTAAATTATTTTATACACTGAATGTATTGTTTACTAATTATTATTCTATCTTTCGGTTTGCGGACAAGCTGGGGGTTTTATAGGAGAGGCGTAGCGAGGGGGGGGGGGGCATATGTCCCCGGTTGCCGACCTTAGAGGGCGCCAAAGTCGGTTGGAAAAAATTTGCGAGGGGGGGGTGTGGAAATCGAAAGTTTTAGGGCGGGAGGGGGGTGCAAATCAAAAGTTTGAGCGGGGGGAATTTTAAATAAAAAGTTGTGCAAATCGAAAGTCTGAGGGGAGGTAATAATCAAAAGTTTGAGGGGGTAGGGTGGAAATTGAAATTTTGAGGGGAGAGGGTGCAAATCGTAAGTTTAAGGGGGGGGGGTCAAATCGAAAGTTTGTCCCCGAGCGCCGGAAAGGGTCGCTACGCCTCTGTTTTATTCACTGTGTCAGACGCGTCCGCCGGCGCTCGGAAAGGGCGCGATTTGGCGCTACGGGTTAGACTGTGAGCAATATGCCTTTATGATTACATTTAAGATGTGTTTATGTTATGAGTGTTGTGTTTATTTTTTTCGTTTTTTTTTGCGTTCGTTTGTGTTGTGTTTAGTTTTGTTCTGTTCCTAACTTGGTACATTTAAAAATGATTTACCGTGGCGGAGCACGGGATGCAACTAGTATAATATGTTTGTATTTGCTCATTTTCTGCATGCACAGTTTTCCGTTGCGCAGTTTTCTGTTTGTGCATTTTTCTGTGAACCGATCAATATCTAATACTATAATGGGCCACATCTCTCTCTCTCTCTCTCTCTCTCTGTCCGCAAAAAATTTTCGCCGGACATCACGTCAGAAACGGCAGCAATATATGGAGAACTTTATACGGACTTTTGTTGAAAATAATATGCTAGATGTTTTAAATGTATAACCACAATTTTATTTAAAGAAGAAAAATATAAAATAAAGGCGTATTCGAATGTAGAGAAACAGTATTATTTATGCAACCGGAAAAGCATTAATAGATGTGTAAAAGAACGCATAAAACTGTGACGACACTATTGCTTACTAATGATGTCATCTGCCGTGTTTAGAATAAAAAAGAAATGAACTATTTCATTCAAATTTAATTTAGATCTACGTACACTATGAAATGTATACAATACAATTTTTAAGGCCTAAACTCATAACATTTATTTATACAAAATCTTTGTTTGGAACTGGCTAATTTGGGATAAAAAAATTAATTTGAAAGAATAGGCATATTCGCGTAAGTTAAGATTTTAAAATACGTCTTACATTCTCTGTATTTTATAAGGTGCCTAAATAGCGGAGATGATAGTGTACTATAAACCACGCAGGTGGTGCGGGTTCGAGACCCACCAAGTCAACTTGGTTAATGTATTTTTTTTTTATTTTGCTCGGACTAAACTTAAGAAAAAAAAATTCAATTAGGATTCTAGATCTAGATTGTCGGGTGTCCGATAAGGCACTTCCCGGCGCCGCAGGCGCTTCAAATTTGGCAGGATCTTGCCTTGGGGCGACGGAGCACGGGGGCCGGTTGGCCTAAAGGTCTACGATGAGGGGGTCAAAACTGACCTCGACTGACCGGTACCTTATATGAGCTATAAATCGAAAAAAAATGTCCACGGAGGAACCTCTTCATAACTCTTGAGGTCGTAGACCGACCCTCGGGCGAATTAATTAAGCATTCACATTCTCAATGTTTTCGAAAGCCTAAGCGAAGCTGGGCAGCATGCCTAGTGTACATATAATGTACATTGACTTTATGAGAAATCGATATTTCTATGAAAGTTTCAAACACGGATATGCATGGAACATTAACGAAAAATAGGTTCTCTGTATAAGATATTAATCTATAAAACTTCCTTCGTACTTTATAATTCATATGCTACGTGACTTTGTTTCATCGATTTAATTTTAATTTTGTTTGAATTAGTGCATTGATCAGTAAATTATTAGGACAGTATTGTACATTTTTTAATCAAACATTACTTTTGAGCTGATATTTTAATAATATATCGAATGTAATTGAAGAAATGGAAATGTTTTAATGCAATATTAAAATCTTTGTATTAAAAAGTTATGAGTTATAAATAATTCTCACTTAAAGCGGTATTACCCAGCATCGAATCATAAATGAAATTCCTCGGCCATTCAATTACCCCGTATCCCCTCCACCCCCACACACGTTTTTATAATGTATATTAAAGCCAGGGGCGGAACTACAGTGCCGCCAGACCCCGCAATGCGGGGGGGCCCACGCCATTTAGGGGCCCACGGCCGACCATAAAAAAAATTGTTATAGTTTAAAAAAAATGTTCTTGCATTTTTGACTTAATGTTTGTTTGTAAAAAAGATTACCGTAGCTGCGGTTGGATTATCTTTATTCTATAGACACTACCCCACGCTCATTTTTCCTTCGTTTTTAAACCACTGTGAAAACCGTGTCCTCTTTCTCCTACAATGAAACTTATCAAAGATAAGCAAACGTTCAAACCACTTCCATGACTTATTTCCCTTTTTAAATAGTCAAATAGTGCTCATAAGCCTCTTTTTTTTCCCCACGTTTTCTTTAACTTGCTTTCTCTGTTTGTTTTTCCAATCAAATCTTGCGATCGAAATTTCTGGCACTTCCCAGTTAGCTAGCGCGCTGAAATTTTTTCAGGGAAGCTTTCTTTTGGATGACCATAGAATATTCAATTGTTATTATTACTAAATTGATCAATGGAAACATTTTATTGAGCATTTTAGACCGCTATATAATCTATATATATAATTCTCCTCTGCGAGCCATTAGAAAAAAAACGAGCGACGCGTAGCTCGCCTCTCTCTTGCCGCGCGCAGTGACGCGAAACGATCCCACGTCGCGACAGGCTTAGGGGCAGATAATTTAGTTTGTTACAGGAGGTAACTAT